ATATATAATACCAAAAATTTTTCGAAGCAAAATATGAAATTTCGTTAAATTTCGGACGAAATTTTTTTTAAATATTAAGAGGATATACCACTTTGAAAAATTTCAGACGAAATTTTTTTCAAATATTAAGAGGATATACCACTTCGAAAAATTTCGAAGAAATTTTTTTTAAAATATTAAAAGGATATACCACTCCAAAAACATTCGAACAAAAATTTTTTGAAATATGAAGAGGATATATCATACCAAAAATTTTTCGAAGCAAAATATGAAATTTCGTTAAGAGGATATACCACTCCGAAAGATTTCGGACGAAATTTTTTTTAAATATTAAAATTTCGGACGAAAAATTTTTCAAATATTAAGAGGATATATCATTCCAAAAATTTTGCGAAGCCAAATATGAAATTTCATTAAGAGGATATACCACCCCAAAAAATTTTCTAATTAAAATATGAGATTTTATTAAGAGGATATACCACTCCGAAAAATTTCAGTCGAAAAATTTTTCAAATATTAAGAGGATATACCACCCCAAAAAATTTTCAAAGTAAATATCATCATATCATGAAAATAAAATTTGAGTTTTCGTTAAGAGGATATACCACTCCGAAATTTTTTTAAATATTAAGAGGATATACCACTCCTAAAAATTTCGGACGAAAAACTTTTCAAATATTAAGAGGATATACCACTCTAAAAATTTTTCAAAGTAAAATATGAGATTTTATTAAGAGGATATACCACTCCAAAAATTTTCGAACAAAAATTTTTTGAAATATTAAGAGGATATACCATTCCAAAAATTTTTTGAAGCAAAATATGAAATTTCGTTAAGAGGATATACCACTCCGAAAAATTTCGGACGAAATTTTTTTAAAATATTAAGAGGATATACCACTTCGAAAAATTTCGAAGAAATTTTTTTTTAAATATTAAGAGGATATACCACTCCAAAAATTTTCGAACAAAAATTTTTTTAAAAATATTAAGAGGATATATAATACCAAAAATTTTTCGAAGCAAAATATGAAATTTCGTTAAATTTCGGACGAAATTTTTTTTAAATATTAAGAGGATATACCACTTTGAAAAATTTCAGACGAAATTTTTTTCAAATATTAAGAGGATATACCACTTCGAAAAATTTCGAAGAAATTTTTTTTAAAATATTAAAAGGATATACCACTCCAAAAACTTTCGAACAAAAATTTTTTGAAATATGAAGAGGATATATCATACCAAAAATTTTTCGAAGCAAAATATGAAATTTCGTTAAGAGGATATACCACTCCGAAAGATTTCGGACGAAATTTTTTTTAAATATTAAAATTTCGGACGAAAAATTTTTCAAATATTAAGAGGATATATCATTCCAAAAATTTTGCGAAGCCAAATATGAAATTTCATTAAGAGGATATACCACCCCAAAAAATTTTCTAAGTAAAATATGAGATTTTATTAAGAGGATATACCACTCCGAAAAATTTGAAACGAAATTTTTTTTAAATATTAAAAGGATATACCACTCCAAACATTTTTCAAAGTAAAATATGAGATTTTATTAAGAGGATATACCACTCCTAAAAATTTCGGACGAAAAATTTTTCAAATATTAAGAGGATATACCACTCCAAAAGTTTTGCGAAGCCAAATATGAAATTTCATTAAGAGGATATACCACTCCGAAAAATTTCGGAAGAAAAATTTTTCAAATATTAAGAGGATATACCACTCCAAAAATTTTGCGGAGCAAAATATGAAATTTCATTTAGAGGAAATACCACTCCGAAAAATTTCAGACGAAAAATGTTTCAAATAATAACAGGATATATCATTCCAAAAATTTTGCGGAGCAAAATATGAAATTAAGAGGATATACCACTCCGAAAACTTTCGAACAAAAATTTTTTGAAATATGAAGAGGATATATCATTCCAAAAATTTTGCGAAGCAAAATATGAAATTTCATTTAGAGGATATACCACTCCGAAAAATTTCGGATGAAAAATTTTCCAAATATTAAGAGGATATACCACTCCAAAAATTTCATTAAGGGAAATACCACTCCGAAAAATTTCGGACGAAAAATTTTTCAAATAAAGCTCGGAATTGTATTCGAATAATTCGAATATTCGACTATTCTAAATTCGACTTTTTTGTTCGTTAGCAAATTCGACTATTCGACTATTCGAATATTCGACTATTCGAATATTGGACTATTTAACAATGCAATTACTCACTTTTTGATTTGAACAATTTAAAATTTCAATTGTTTCAATATTTGAATTTGAATGATACAATATACGACGTGTTTTCGGTGAAAATCAGCTTTCAATTAATACAATGCATTTTTGTTCGTAATGTAAATTTAACCCTCTGTAAATTTGCCATTTAGAAAACATCTAAATTATTTTAGTTTTTCTGACTAATACTCTGCATAAAAAATAAAAAATTCGCTTCGTCGTAGAACGTTCTTTTGCGGGAAGTAGAAACTTTTATCAAGAATGATTGTTAGTCGAAAAACGTCATTTTTAAAGTCCCATTTTGTTCTCTTAATTAGGTCCTCTATCAATATTTGACTATTGGAATATTAGACTATTCGAATATTACTATTCGAATATTCGACTATTCGAATATTCGAATATTCAACTATTCGAATATTCGACTGTTCGAATAGGTATTCGAATATTCGACTATTCGAATTATTCAACTATTCGAATAAAATACCAAACGACTATTCGAATACTTGAATTTCAAAAATTCCGAGCCCTAGAATATACCACACCAAAAATTTGAGATTTCGTTAAGAGGATATACCGCTCCGGAAAATTTCGGACGAAAAATTTTTCAAATATTAAGAGGATATACCACTCTAAAAATTTTTCAAAGTAAAATATGAGATTTTATTAAGAGGATATACCACTCCGCAAAATTTCAGACGAAAAATTTTTCAAATATTAACAGGATATAGATATATCATTCCAAAAATTTTGCGAAGCAAAATATGAAATTTCATTAAGAGGATATACCACTCCGAAAAATTTCAGACGAAAAATGTTTCAAATATTAACAGGATATATCATTCCAAATATTTTGCGGAGCAAAATATGAAATTAAGAGGATATACCACTCCGAAAAATTTCAGACGAAAAATTTTTCAATAATAAGAGGATATACTACTCCAAAAATTTTTCAAAGTAAAATATGAGATTTCGTTAAGAGGATATACCACTCCGAAATTTTTTTAAAATATTAAGAGGATTTACCACTCCTAAAAATTTCGGACGAAAAATTTTTCAAATATTGAGAAGATATAGGTACCAGTGGTACCTATTTTTGGAGTGGTACCGTACCACTCCAAAAATGTTGCGAAGCAAAATATGAAATTTTATTAAGAGGATATACTACTCCGAAATTTTTTTTTAAATATTAAGGGGATATACCACTCCTAAAAATTTCGGACGAAAAATTTTTCAAATATTAGGAGGATATACCACTCCAAAAATTTTGCGAAGCAAAATATGAAATTTCATTAGGAGGATATACCACTCCGAAAAATTTTTCAAATATTAAGAGAATATACCACTCCGAAAATTTCGCGAAGCAAAATTTAAAATTTCGTTAAGAGGATATACCACTCCGAAATTTTTTTAAAATATTAAGAGGATATACCACACCTAAAAATTTCGGACGAAAATTTTTTCAAAAATTAAGAGGATATATCACTCCAAAAAGTTTTCGAAGCAAAATTTGAGATTTCGTTAAGAGCATAGATCACTCCGAAATTTTTTTAAAATATTAAGAGGATATACCACTCCTAAAAATTTCGGACGAAAAATTTTTCAAATATTAGGAGGATATACCACTCCAAAAATTTTGCGAAGCAAAATATGAAATTTCATTAGGAGGATATACCACTCCGCAAAATTTTTCAAATATTAAGAGAATATACCACTCCGAAAATTTCGCGAAGCAAAATTTAAAATTTCGTTAAGAGGATATACCACTCCGAAATTTTTTTAAAATATTAAGAGGATATACCACTCCTAAAAATTTCGGACGAAAAATTTTTCAAATATTAGGAGGATATACCACTCCAAAAATTTTGCGAAGCCAAATATGAAATTTCATTAAGAGGATATACCACTCCGAAAAATTTCGGACGAAAAATTTTTCAAATATTATTAAGAAAGAGGATATACCACTTTGAAAAATTTTGAACGAAATTTTTTTAAAATATTGAGGGGAAATACCACTTTAAAAATTTTCGAAAGAAATTTTTTTAAATATTAAGGGGATATGCCACTTTGAAAAATTTCCAACGAAATTTTTTTTAAATATTAAGAGGATATACCACTTCAAAAATTTTCGAGTAAATTTTTTTTTAATATTAAGAGGATATACCACTTTGAAAAATTTTGAACGAAAAATTTTTAAAATATTAAAGAGATATACCACTTCAAAAATTTTCGAAGGAAATTTTTTCAAAATATTAAGAGGATATACCACTTTGAAAAATTTCGAACGAAATTTTCTTTAATATATTAAGGGGATATACCACTTTGAAAATTTTCGGACGAATTTTTTTTTTAATTTTAAAAGGATATACCACTCCAAAAAATTTTCGAAGTCAAATATGATATTTTATTAAGAGGATATATCACTCCGAAAAATTTTCGAAGGAAAAATTTTTAAAATACTAAAAGGATATACACTGTAAAAAAATTTCGAAGTAAAATATGAGATTTCATTAAGATGATATACCATTCTGAAAAATTTCGGACGAACATTTTTTCAAATATTAAGAGGATATACCACTCAAAAAATTTTGTGAGTCAAAATATGAGATTTCCTTAAGAGGATATACCACTCCGAAAAATTTCGAACGAAAATTTTCTCAAAAATTTTAAGAAGATATACTACTCCCAAAATTTTTCTTAAGATGTGCTGTAGCGAATTTTTTATTTTCAAAGCGTCTTATCTCGAAAACGAAAAGCTCGGGAGAAAAACTTCAAATACAAAACTTATAGATCTCGTCGAGTACTACAAAAAAGCCTATAACAAGTATCCCGCCACGGGACACCGTTTTCGAGAAAATCGACCTGGAAAATTTTAACAAAATTACAAAGAATTTCAACTTAGACAGCTGATATCTCGAAGACGAAAACCGCCTGGCATCTCAATACAAAAACATTTTGTAGGTAATTTCATCCTCTTTCAAAAGATATATGACTCGAAACTATCGGTTGAGAAATAGTGGAGCTATAAGCGAAAAAGTGGACTCGTGTCAGGTACCCACAATTTTTTTCTGATCAAAATCGAAATTTCCTTTTTTATTTTTTTCGGCCTTAAGATGTGCCGTAGCGAGGAGGGTCAAATTAACTTTTCATCGTATTTTTGGCTCCTCAATCCGCTAGATTTTTTTTTTTTTTTCTTAAATTCAAATTTTGAATTTTTTCACTGTATTTTGCCACTGCCGCATACTGTCAAAAACCCCTATAATCATAATATATCAATGTGATATAAATTTTACATTTGCTTTAACATGACAGGTTTTAGTTAAAAAAAAAACCAAGACAATTTTTATAGAAATATCTTTATTCAAATATAATAATAAACCCAATAGTAATGATAAATAGTGATACTTGAATGCAGAATAAATCGAGAATACAAATAAGTCAAAAATCAATTGTAGGTATATTTGGACTTAAAATACAATATAATCATGATTGCTAACCAACAACAACCCCTTATCTGATGAATAAGGTTGCGGTTAGATAACAAGAACTCATCCTATTATTGAACAAAAAAAAAACCAGTAACAATATAATAATTAAAGTTCGCCTTACGAGTCTAGCACTATGGAAAGAATGCGGATAAAAAAATTGCAATATTGCCTGTTTGACTTCCATTAGAAAATACCTTGATATTTATCTATGTTACACACCTACATTTATAAGGAAAAAGTAATATTTGAAAACGCTGCGCGCACGCCCATGACAGGCAGCATAAAGCTCGAAATGAATGGCGTTATTCCCCCTTGCCCTTCCGACGTCATAGTGCTAGACTCGTAAGGCGAACTATACACTATACTTTACAACCGAAATACAAAGGTTTTAAGTCAAAAAAAAAGAAAGAAAAAAAAATGCAAGGTGCCAACTGAATACAGTGTAAAAAAAGAAAAATCTTAAAAACTAAAAAAATAAATTAAATTAATTATTGATAATAATATTAATTATATACTTAAAAATAAATCCAAAATTACTTAATAAAATGTACAAGTTATTAAACTTTATTAATAACTAATTAAACACGGTTGTAATGTCAATTTTCTAAAAACTTGACATGAATAATTTTTTTTTTTTGTGAAAGAATAGATGAACAATAATTTTCCAACATATTATTAGGTTTGTTCCAACCCGTCAAAATACCGCCTCACGAACGGTTTCGAAACCACTCTGTATACAAATTTCGGCTTTTACGCACAACTTTCCGGTGTATTGGAACAAAGCTATTATTACCAATAAAAACTCATCTTATTAGGCACTAATTTTAAGAGGGGAGATAGAGACTTATTGCTTCTATAGTGCTTTTAAACAATCATCCAATTAATAAAAAAATATTAGTCAATAATAAATCTACAATATGTTTTATGCAAGTTTCTGATAAGCATTTTTTTGTTTGTTTTTACCCATATCATTCTAGGAAGTTTTGGTATCGAATCTGCAAAATTGAGATTCTATAATTTACAAATTCTTAGGCACTTGCTGATTTTTAAAAGCAAAAACACTATATACTACTATAACCAATCAAGATTGATTGTCTTTGTCGTCACTACTACTGTTTCAACTTGTTTTGGTTATCAACAGTACAGGACTCGGAGGGCTTTTACGTACAGTTTGCGGTATTGCAGTCAAAGATTGCGGTATCCTCGGTATTATTTGAATAGCAGGATTGTTTTCCAAACGAATCAAAGCGTCTTGGTTGCGTTGGCCAAGCCTTTCAACTTGTTTGTCCAATTTTTCCAAAATCGACTCACTGGATTCGATTTTTGTTTCTATTAAGGTGCCGCCTGATGTTTTGGTTAGTAATTTTCTGGCTGGTTGTTGTTGGGCAGGTTTGAGCATGGATTTTTGGTTGAGCAAGGCTTGGTGTCTTGCCAATGTTTGTTGTTCTTGGATTTTTTTTTGTTTGGCTTCGAAGCTGCGTTTGATAGCGCACATTTTCTTGTAGTCTTCCAAGGTTATGTGGTAGGGTTTGCCGCCTGATATGACCTGAGGAAAAAAAAAAGAAAATTATTGATAATTTGAATCTTGGAACTTTTGTTGAATAATTGGCAATTGAGATTTAGTAATAGAGTGAAAAGGAAAAATCAAAATTTGCAGCTTTTCCTTGCTCAAAAAATCGACAAAAGATAATAGTTCTGAGATAATTTGGTTGAATGAGAAGAATAAGATGATGTTGATGCTGAACATGGAAATGAAGACGATGACGAACAATTAGCAGTAGTAATTTTGAAATAGTAGTCCATGTCTCACAGTGAGGAGAATAATTAAAGAACTGGAGTAAAACACACAGTCTATCTTCACTCCTTATTTTACAAAAATAATCAGTTGGAAGGGCAAAAGCGAGTGGTGGCTTGGGCCAGTCAGTAGACTGTTGTTACCCCGAGAAGTGCGATATTCGTCCAATGAAAAGGAAGTTCTGGCGGCGGTGTTTGCTTTGAACCGTTGGCGCGTGTATCTTTTGGGAAGGCACTTCCATTTACATTCTCACATATTTGCAGACATATCGTCTCTTGACTCCGCGTATTGCTAGGTGGGCTTTATCGTTGCAGGAGTTTGATTTTTCCATCGAGTACACCCCTGGCACTGAGAACATGGTTGCTAACGCCTTATCCAGGTTTTCCTGTGTAAGACCTCCAAGCCCCCAGGATAAATGTTTCAAAATCTTCAGTCTTGCTCTACCCAAGAGTTTCCTTAGTCTGCTAAAGAATATACATGCTGCACAGAGGGAGAATAAAAAGTTGGGGGACATCTTGGAACAGTTGCCAAACGACCCAAGGTTGCAGCAAAGGTTTCTGGTGAACAATCAGGTGTTATACATCAGACATTCCGAGGATGAGCCCTACCGCCTTTGTGTTCCAAAATCGCTGACTAGGATGTTTGTTTAGGCATATCACAAGGCGTCGGGTCACTTTGGTTGTTATAAAACTTGGTGTGTTCTCAAGCATGAAGTCTGGTGGACCAACATGTATGTAGAGGTTAAGAGAATCGTGCGGTCATGCGACCTTTGTCAGCGGAGCAAATGTGCTGATCTTCCTAAGCCCGCCATTCATCCCATAGTGCCAACAAACAAAAGGGAACTAGTGGCTTTGGATTTACATGTAGTAAGATAGGTAGTAAGATAGTACATGTTTCGGATCTATCATAGATCCATAATCAGCATAAGTTCAAATGGCATAGGGAAAATATGGTCATATACGACATGCCTAAGTATAATAATTATACATAAAAATATAAGTGTTAAGTGTTCATGCTGTTATCAGCGTAAAGTTGGTGGCTGAAGCCGCATCCAACACAGAACACATCTACAAAACAAAGGTGAAAATTGAAAAAAATATTTTATTAACATTAGAAAATTAAACCCAAAATAGGACTGCCAAACAAACACAGAATATGCCTATAGGAGGCGGAATTCTGGACATTCATCTGTACTTCTGGATGTAAGTGGGTGTTACGTAATCAAATTTTAAAAAATTTTCTTTATGAAAATCGTGCTGTCTGCACGAGGAGTAAGAATGTAATTACATTCTTACGTATATGACCATATTTTCCCTATGCCATTTGAACTTATGCTGATGATGGACCTATGATAGATCCGAAACATGTACAACCCCCCTTCCAACTGATTATTTTTGTAAAATAAAGAGTGAAGATAGACTGTGTGTTTTACTCCAGTTCTTTAATTAGCAGTAGTTCAAGCCTAAGACGAATAATTCTTTTTCAATAACATCTTTTGATATTGAAGAAAATTCCGAATTTATAGTCGTTTTTCGAGGCTTTCTTGAGGGACCTTAGTTTAGCAAGGACACTTATTACTATTTGACAAGTTTATCATGTCAATGCCAAACGGCCAATTCTTCCCTAGGTTCATGAAAAGTTTATAGTTTATTTTCAATGGAAACCAATTGAATTATTATTATTGTTATTATTATGAAAAACTTTCTCACTTTTTCGAAAAGTGGTTTTACTTCTCCGAGATAGCGGGCTGTGCCAAGCTATTTCTGAGTCTACCGCTGGAATTAAGAAATGATCTGACTATAATACACATTTTGTGGATGACAGACTTTTAAATATATATTTGTGTGGATGTGTGAGTTGAGCTCGAGCTGCTTAAGATGCGTATCGAATATGTCAGTTGTAATATGCCTGTGGTGGATATGTCGAATGGTATGACAGTTACTTTTTTTTGTTTCCAGAGCCTCTGAACTTCTATGTCCAATTCTGTGTACTTTGATATTTTTTCGTTATAGTCAAATTATATATACAGGGTGTTTGGCGGAGGATTAGCCAAACTTGGTGGGTGTATAGATAAGCCCTTTTCGAAGATATTTTATCAATGCACTAGTGCCCTTAAGGTCCCCGTTTTTTTTATATCATTGCTTTTGTATTATTCTCGAGAATGGATCTTTCAACTTCTGTAACTTTCATCAAGATCAAGTATACCCTACAGACCAAAGACACATGAAAAAAACATTTTCATAAACATTAAAAAAAAGTAACAGAAGTTAAAAGGTCAATTTTCGAAAATTCTTAACAATACGAAAGCAATGATGAAAAAAGGGGAACTTAAGGCACACAAGTGTATTAATAAAATATCTTCGAAATAGGTCTATCTATACGCCCACCAAGTTTGGCTAACCTTGTATTATTATTATCCCTTTGTCTCACTAAGGTGCTACCTCAGGTGGCTTTACAGGAGATACCGAGTACACACCGTGCACCTAGGGTAACTCCTGCAGATTTTATTGTTCTATAGTACTTTGCGCACGATGTGTGTCGTACCCAGCAATACTGACTTTTACATAATCTGGAGATTGTTTTCACTAGGCACTTTCTTGATGGCTTTACATGTGGCGTCTGAAACAAGTCTTGTTGCTCCTATTACTATGGGGATGATTTTAAATTTTAGGTTCCACATTCTCTGTGTTTCTTTGAGCAATTAAGCATTTGTATTTCAGGTGCTTTTCCGTCTCTTTCTAATCTGGTTTACATTATAATCCGATGGTATCGCAAAATCAATGATCAGGCATTTTCTTTTCTTTCTCTTGTTTTATTATGACGTCCAGTTTGTTTGCTTTGATACACCTTTATGTTTGAATTTGCATATTCCATATTATGTATGGTTACTTCTTGAATATCTACAGTGTGTCAACTTAAGTTCGCAGCATATGAGAAACTTTTTTATTATCAACTTTAGGAAAAAAAGTTATTATTTATAAAAGTTTCTGCTTCTTGAAAAAATGATATTAAACTACTAAAACTTGAAATAGCATGTACAGGGGCACCCATTTTCGATGTTTCAATAGGCTATACCGAAACCAGCAGAGATATCAAAAATCTGGGAGCACATTCTCGGGCTTTTTATTTGAGAAAATAACAATGGCGAAGACAAATCGCGGCTAACTTGATGCATTTAGGAAATACAGGGCACTTTTCAAATTTTGCCCATTTTTTGAAGACATTCTAATTTCTTTATTAATCAAGATTATCCAAAAACGAAAAATACTTCCTAGAGGCAGTTTTTCAAGGAGAATCCGGTGGCATGACCAATTTTTCTCCAGATGCCTCCGATTTTGGAATATTCACCAAAGTTGTGTTTTTTAAATGGGAGACCCCGTATATTATTTTTTTTATTCAATAGCTCTTTATGAGCTGATTTCAATGATATGAGGTTTTATACCTTTACTTTTTATAGTTTCGGAGAAAAAAAAATTAATTCCGTTTTTCCATAAGAAACAATGAGCTAGAGAGAGATAAGTCATTAAATAAATTATGTGTTACCTATTTATCAATTATCACCTCCGATTTATAGTTCAAATTAAAAAAAATTTAGCTGAACTGAAAAATTAAATTAAGAATTAAGAAATTTATAGCCGATTCATAGTTCAACTATCTCTTTCTAACTCATTGTTTCTTACGCAAAAAACGGAATTTATTTATTTTTCTCCAAAACTGTTGAAGTTAAAGGTAGGTATAGTATTTTTAATACCTATTTAAAAATACCTGTCGTTTTAGTGACAAAACGTATCTCGCTTCTTGACACACAAATAAAATTAGGTCAGGAATTTCCTATTTGTAGATGAAATTGACGTATTAGCAATCTACGTTCGTTTTTGTTGGTAATTTTTTGTTTCATCTGATTCGTGATTGATAAATAAGAATGGGGTTATTCTAAATGAGTATTACAAATACTATATCATTGAAATCAGCTCACAAAGAGTCTTTCAATGAAAAAATAATACACGGGGTGTCCCATTTAAAAAAACACAACTTTGGTCAATATTCCAAAATCGGACGCATCTGGAGAAAAATTGGTTATACCAATGGATTCTCCTTGAAAAACTGCCTCTAGAAAGTATTTTTCGTATTTGGATATCTTGAATAATAAGGAAATTAGAGAGTCTTTTAAAATTGGACAAAATTTGAATAGTGCCCTGTATTTCCCTAAACGCATCAAGTTAGCCATGATATGTATACGCCATTGCTATTTTCTCAAAAAAAGAGCTCGAGAATGTGCTTCCAGATTTTTGATATCTCTGCTGGTTTTCGATATAGTCTATTAAAACATCGAAAATGGCCCACCCTGTACAGGGTCGTCAAAAAATAGAAAAATATACAGGGTGTTTCCTAAGTAAGGTTCGTTACTTCAGGATGTGATTTCTTACAATATTTTGAGAAAAAAAGTTCTCACAAACATGTGTCCGGAAATGCGTAGTTTTTGAAATACATGGTTTTGAAGTTTTAGAAAAAATCGTTTTTTATCTCAAAAATCCCTTTTCCATTTTCTTTTTTTAAATTTGGCAGGTTAGTTTGTGATAATGAATTTACGAAAGGTATCTTTTGACTGTAATATGACTTGCATAATCTGATCATCAATATCAAAGGTTTTAAGAAATAGTGACGTGCCATTTTTTTCTACTTTTACCAAAAAACCCTGTATATTTTTCCTATTTTCTGACCACCCTGTACATGCTATTTCAAGTTTTAAT